GGACACTTCATTGCACTCCAGAAAGAAGAGATCCAGCTCCACCCACCAGAATATAGATGCAAACTCCCCCAACCAGGAAACCTTGACAAGCCACTAGTCCAACCCCCCCTCCCCCAACAGGGAGCAGACTCCACAGTTAAGAGGAATCACAAACTTCCAGCCTGCAGAAAGGGCACCCCAAACACAGCAATCTAAACAAAATGAAAAGGAAGAGAAATATTCAGAAGGTGAAGGAACATGATAAAACCCCACCAAACCAAACAAAGGAGGAGATAGGGAGTCTACCTGAAAAAGAATTCAGAATAATGATAGTAAAGATGATCCAAAATCTTGAAAACAAAATGGAGTTACAGAAAAATAGACTAGAGACAAGGATTGAGAAGATGTAAGAAATGTTTAACAAGGACCTAGGAGAAATAAAGAAGAGTCAATCAATAATGAATAATGCAATAACTGAGATCAAAGGCACCCTGGAGGGAACCAACAGTAGAATAACTGAGGCAGAAGAAAGGATAAGTGATGTGGGGGATAGAATGGTGGAAATAAATGAAGCATAAAGGAAAAAAGAAGAAAGAAAAGAAATGAGGACAACTTCAGAGACCTCTGGGACAATATTAAATGACCCAACATTCGAATCATGGGTGTCCTGGAAGAAGACAAAAAGAAAGGGCATGAGAAAATACTTGAGGAGATAACAGTTGAAAACTTCCCTAAAATGGAGAGGGAAATAGCCACCCAAGTCCAAGAGACCCAAAGAGTCCCAAACAGGATAAACCCAAGGCAAAACACCCCAAGACATATATTAATCAAACTAACAAAGATCAAACACAAAGAGCAAATATTAAAAGCGGCAAGGGAAAAGCAACAAGTAACACAAGACTAACAGTTGATCTTTCAATAGAAACTCTTCAGGCCAGAAGGGAATGGCAGGACATACTTAAAGTGATGAAAGAGAAATACCTACAACCAAGATTATTCTACCCAGCAAGGATCCCATTCAGAATTCAGATATGAAGGAGAAATCAGAAGCTTTACAGACAAACAAAAGTTGAGAGAATTCAGCACCACCAAACCAGCTCTTCAACAAATGCTAAAAGATCTTCTCTAGACAGGAAATACAGAAAAGTTTTGTAAAAATGAACCCAAAACAACAATGGGATCATACTTATCAATAACTGACTTAAATGTAAATGGGTTAAATGCTCCAACCAAAAGAGAAAGATTGGCTGAATGGATACAAAAACAAGATCCCTATATATGTTGTCTACAAGAGACCCACCTAGAACCCAGGACACATACAGACTGAAAGTGAAGGGCTGGAAAAAGATATTTCATGCAAATGGAGACCAAAAGAAAGCAGGAGTAGCAATACCCATATCAGATAAAACAGACTTTGAAATAAAGACCATGATAAGAGACAAGGACACTACATAATGATCAAGGGATCAATCCAAGAAGAAGATATAACAATTATATATGTACCCAACATAGGAGCACCTCAATACGTAAGGCAAATGCTAACAACTATGAAAGGGGAAATTAACAGTAACACAGTAATAGTGAGAGATTTTAATACCCAACTCACACCTATGGATAGATCAACCAAACAGAAAATTAGCAAGAAAACACAAGCTTTAAACGATACAATGAACCAGTTAGACCTAATTGATAGTTATAGGGCATTTCATCCCAAAACTATGGATTTTATATTTTTCTCAAGTGCACACAGAATGTTCTCCAGGATAGATCACATCCTGGGCCATAAATCTAGCCTTGGTAAATTAAAAAAAATTGAAATCATTTCAAGCATCCTTTCTGAGCACAATGTAAAAAAAAACTATTAAAAATACATTCCTACTATATATACATATGTATATATATATATTCCATTGATTTTTAAAAATTCATATCCAGTGCCTTTAATCACTAGGTTATATATAGAGATTATCTGGCAAGGCCACACCTTTCTTACTATCTCCCTTTTTCTAATTTTCTCATGAGCCCTACAATATCTGCCCCCATGTGAACTTGAGGGTTTGCAAGTCTGTTTCCCCTCAGTCTTCGTGATTTTTCCCCTGGGATTTTATTACATTTATTAATTTAGAATAACTTTGCATCTTAAAATACTGTCTTTCTCTTTATGACCATGTGTATAGATTTCTTCATTTTATTTTGCATCTTCAAATTTACTTCAACAACTCTTACACATTTTTTGTAATATTATTCCTAGATAATCATTTTGCTGAAAACATAAAATAGATCTTTATGTCCACTATACTTTCAAAATAGTTGTTGAATGTGAATAGAGAAATGATGACTTTTGTATGCAACATTTTCAAACCAGTCACTTTATTGAATTCTACTGTTGTTTGTAAGAACTTTCCAGATCATCTTGAGATTTCTAGCTATATAATCATTTCATCTACATAAAATATAATTTTCACTTTTACATTATTTTAGATTATCTAAATGTATTGTCTAGTATTGCCAGACCAATGTAATAACAGAGAGGAACTGAGCATACTTTCTTGACTTTATTTGGGGGCACTTTATTGACCTTATTAAATTGGAGTTAAAACCACATGGTTTGAAATAATTTTCCCCAATATGTTTTTATTATTACCTAAAATTTGATCCAATTATTATATAAATTTTGAATCTTTCAATGTAGGAAATCTATTTTTTAAAGGCTTTATTGGTTATCTGTTTGTCTCTTGGAAGTTTTATCAACGTCCATCTCATCAACATTCTATTCTGAACATTGTACTTATTACACCCAAAATGAAATCTGTGTGTTTCATAAACCTAGTCTGACTTTTGTCATATATATATATATACATATATATGTATATATGTATATAAAAAACAGAGAGAGAGGGGATGGGGAGAGAGAGAGAGAAGTAAGAGCCTGGAACATAATAAATGCTTGCTATTACTTATTGGCTGCGCCAAAGCCTTCAACTGTGTGGATCACAATAAACTGTGGAAAATTCTGAAAGAGATGGGAATACCAGACCACCTGACCTGCCTCTTGAGAAGAATGCAGGTCAGGAAGCAACAGTTAGAACTGGACATGGAAAAACAGACTGGTTCCAAATAGGAAATGGAGTATGTCAAGGCTGTATATTGTCACCCTGCTTATTTAACTTATATGCAGAGTACATCATGAGAAATGCTGGGCTGGAAGAAGCACAAGCTGGAATCAAGATTGCTGGGAGAAATATCAATAACCTCAGATATGCAGATGACACCACTCTTATGGCAGAAAGTGAAGAGGAACTAAAAAGCCTCTTGATGAAAGTGAAAGAGGAGAGTAAAAAAGTTGGCTTAAAGCTTAACATTCAGAAAACGAAGATCATGGCATCTGGTCCCATCACCTCATGGGAAATAGATGGGGAGACAGTGGAAATAGTGGGAGACTTTATTTTTGGGGGCTCCAAAATCACTGCAGATGGTGACTGCAGGCATGAAATTAAAAGACGCTTACTCCTTGGAAGGAAAGTTATGACCAACCTAGATAGCATGTTAAAAAGCAGAGACATTACTTTGCCAACAAAGGTCTGTCTGTTCAGGGCTATGGTTTTTCCAGTGGTCATGTATGGATGTGAGAGTTGGACTATAAAGAAAGCTGAGCACCGAAGAATTGATGCTTTTGAACTGTGGTGTTGGAGAAGACTCTTGAGAGTCCCTTGGACTGCAAGGAGATCCAACCAGTCCATCCTAAAGGAGATCAGTCCTGAGTGTTCATTGGAACACTGATGCTGAAGCTGAAACTCCAATACTTTGGCCACCTCATGTGAAGAGTTGACTCATTGGAAAAGACCTTGATGCTGGGAGGGATTGGGGAAAGGAGGAGGAGGGGATGACAGAGGATGAGATGGATGGATGGCATCATCGACTCGATGGACATGAGTTTGGGTAACCTCCGACAGTTGGTGATGGACAGGGAGGCCTGGCGTGCTGTGGTTCATGGGGTCGCAAAGAGTCGGACACGACTGAGCGACTGAGCTGAACTGATTACTTTCCAAAAATATCCATGAAATTTAAATGTTCAAACACTATAAAAGAAATTATTTTTAATTTTATTAATTATTACAAATTGATGCATTGTTTTGAAAAATAGAGAAATCAGCACATAACAAAATAGCTCAAACAATGTCAAGAAAATATTAGACTGTGACAGATTTGAACTCTGACTTTTACAAACATCTTCTTCAGCTGTTAATCTATTTTTACTTATTTATTTACTTATTTAAAATAATCAACAATAAGTGTTTCACTGAGCATCTATTACTATGCCTGGCACAATGCTAAATACTTTGAGGAAAAATATAAGAAGCATCTCGCATGGTCCTTGTCCTTAGTGGTTTATAATCTAACTATTTATGATTTATAGAGATACATTGAAAAAATTCTGGGACCTAATACCTTTAAGTAAAATTATCTTTGAACCTAATCACTTTGGAAGGTTATATGATTATTTTTAAAAAATCCTAAAATATTTTATGCATCTGTTCCTTTGGGATTGCCTTTGGAGTCATTATATAAGTCACTTAAGAAAGGCAGACTCATTGCTTTAATTTTAGTTTAGAATGCTGCTCTACCCTTCTGTACATAGTGTAGTCACCTGAATTAATCACTGTGTTTGTTGCTCACTAACTTTGGGTTATTTTAAAATCTCACATTCACCCTAACTGGCAAGTTTTACTATTGTTGATGCCCTTCCAAAGCATGTCCTACAGCACTACTGGACAGTCAGTACCTGGAGGATGAGAAGCCTTTCTCATCAGCTTTGCATCTTACCCAGCATCCAGCTCTCGCTTAAGCACAGCAGGACTGTAAGACAAACCCTGTGTTGAATTGCCAGCACATTAGCTGGCACTTGTTCAACAGCTGGAGACGACAGGGTGGGCTGAGGATAGAGGCACGGAAGCGTTCCAGTTGGGGTTTGACGGGGATTTCTTTCCATTCTGCTGTTTCATATTTTCTTTCATTACTCCTTAGGCATCTGGCTTTGACAGTGAAGGACAGAGAGGTCTCCCAGAAGCCGGCCGCAGATTCTCCCAATACTCCCTTCTAGCCCTGCATTTGAAAAGATTTATAGTTAATCAGTTAAAAGATTTATGTCTATTTTATAAGCCAATATATTGTGTGTGTGTGTGTGTGTGTGTGTAGGCTAAATACAACTAAGTTTGGTGGATAATCAGGCTAAGGTAGAATTTCAGTTTTAACATATACACAGAAAATCTGTGCCCATATCCATTAATTTCAGGAGTCTTTCTATATTTATATTCTCCATAACAATCACTGGGTTTCAAATTGCCTTTCAAAAAAAGACAATGTGTTTGAATTTTACATGTTTTTGCGAATTTTATTCATCCAGAAATATCTAGCAGGATCCTTCTAACCCTACTGAATGTTTTAACATAATGACAAGTATATGAAGCCAGTTTTCTAAAACATTCAATCAAGTTACTTTTGGCTGTTCGGGGTCTTCACCGCTGCGTGGGCTTTCCCGACTGCCATGAGCGGAGGCTGCTTTCTAGCACACGGGCTTCTCGCTGCAGCGTCTTCTCTTGCTGTGGAACGCAGGCTTTGCGGTGCGCAGGTTCCAGGGTGTGGCGGTTTCCAGGCTCAGAGCACAGGTTCAATAGTCGCAGTGCGTGGGCTTAATTGCTCTGAGGCATGTTGGGCCCTCCCTGACCAGGGACTGAACCCGTGTCTCCTGCATTGGCAGGTGGATTCTTTACTGCTGAGCCACCGGGGAAGCCCCTGAAGCCAGTTTTTAACGTAACGAGACAAAGTAAAATTCTTCAGAAACTAACTAAAAACAGAATACAAGTCACGCAGTATTTGTATCTTGTTTTTAGGAAAGGAAAGAACACAAGGTTCCTGGTCACAGACTTTTGTGTTAAATATATTTTTACAGTTTTTTTCACTTTACTTATGAAACAACTAATAAACCAGTTTTTTTTTTTTTTTTGGATGATGAAAATGTCAGAAGTCTATAGGTTTTTGGGTAATCACAACTTTTTGTGAACATCAGTATGTTTGGGAGTTTAGGGTACAAGAAATGTCTGCCTTTAGTCTATAGAATAATGTTTTAAGTTGCTAATGAATTCCAAAGATCCTTAGACAATGTATATTAAAATAAGCCATTTCTCATTTATCTGAACTATTTTAATCATCATCAAAGTATGCTTTCCTCACCTTTTAATTATGTTTCTATTTAGTCCTTTTTTTTCTAAGCATGAGACCTTTAAAAAAATCTTTCTGGATAAATATCCATATCTTTCAGAAGAAATGTTTGCCTAAATGATTTCTTGCATGTGTCTACAATATAAACATATTTGCATTCAGAAAGCTGTCCCAGTTAAAAAATGAAGACTATTCTAAATCTCTTCCCCACTGAAATGGATAAAGTACAAAAATGGATTAAAGACATAATAGCACTGATTAGAGAAGATGGCAGAGAAGATAGCTGGTTTATGAAATATGGAAAAGTGATGGCATTGTTTGACAGGAGAAAGAGAGGGAGAGGGAGATGGGAAGAGGATAATTTGAAACAGAATAGTGATTTAAGGAGCCTCCCAGAAAAGTGCCTCCAACGATAAAGTGACCGATTGTAACAAACAGCATAATCTAGATACTGGAAAACCTTAGAGAAGTGGAAGGCCTGTCATTCTTCTTTCAACAATAGGAAAGAAAGTTAATTAGACATTCCTATAAAACCAAATGTTGTATAAGGAAGCTGTAGTCCAACTCTGATGTAAATTAAAATATGACCTGAATTTGGACTATGAATGAAATGTAAAAGGAGAGACTCAATTTGACCTTGATGCTGTGAACATTCTCCTACACAGGGCTCAGGTTCTGTGAAATAGGTTTATTTCTATTTCTCTTGGTTCTGTAATGAATAATGTTTAGAAAATCATGACATAGTACCAAGATACTAGATTGGAAATTTGATTAGTGGCACAAGATATGATAGATATCAGATATTAAAGCAAGACAGACACTCTGCAGAATTTTCAGAGTAGGTGGCTAAGAGCCAGTCAGCTGACTCACTGACTCTACACTGGAAAATCAGATCACAGAGACCAATGAGTTGGATACTTTGCTTGTGGTTAAACTGAGATTAGACCACACTCTTAGAGTTCATCTCCATAAAGGAAGGGTGAAAAGTCTTGTAGCCAGTTTTGAGCCTAATAGGAGAGGGTGCGTCTAAAATCAGGCTCAGGAGAAATACCAAGAAGGAAAATGAGATTCTCACAAATGGGGTGTATCTGTAGTTGACTCACAAATGGGGTATATGTGTAGTTGACCTATTGAGAAAGTCAAGATCTGAGGGTGAAGCAGAAAAAAAAATTTTACAGAAAAATGCAATGCCTGTAGCATGAGAAATAACACAAGTTCCTGGTGGAAACCTCTGAAGAGCTGTAAATACACTCATGAGGACCTGCCAGGCCCAGGGAGTGTGGTCTTGTAACAGTGTGCCCGTCAGGCTGTAGCAGTTTACTGCTTTTCCAGCTTCTATCCTCACTCTTTGAATCTGGACAGGTCAGAAACAGTGACCAGCAATGTGGGAAGGGAGGGTTGGAAGCACAAGACAGAGAAAGAGAAAGATCAGATGAGCCATCCCTGCTTTCCTACATATTAAAATCTTCTGCTAGAAAAAAGGAGAATTTTAAGCTTGAAACAAGTTCCAAGTTTTGATTTCACATGGAATTGAACACTTAATTACTGAATTGCCATTGTGTTTTCTTATACTGTGTTTAGTTATAAACACTGATGATCTAAAAGGAATGGTATACCATAAAGAAACCAAGTACGTGAGGGAGGAAAAGTGAAAGAAAATAGAGGACGTCAATTCATATTTTACAGAGAATGGAATCAAGAGATACTGCCTCATATTAATGGATTAAAAAATAGGTGGTTAAATATGAAATTCAAACTTGTAAAGATAACTAACAGAACAAGCAAAGATGTAACAAGGCAAAATTGGCAAAAGGAGAACAGGGAAAGTGGGGAGATCATCTGATTTAAATTTCTCAGCTTTCATAATTACCACTTAAAATTGGTGAAACAAGAGTTAGAGGAACAAGACTTCAAAACATAAATGGCAAATAAGTTACCCCTGGGATAGGATAGATGTCAAGAATGGGGTGGCTTTTACCCTTCATTTTATACATTTCTATACTTATGAATTTTTATTACCATGTGCATGCATAATGTTAACAATAAATGAGATTAGAGGAAAATAGTAATGTTAATTTAAAAATTCCTACCTGGCTCTAATCCAGGGTTTGGTGTGTGTACTGAGACCACTTCCCCAGCTGCCATGTTTTTCTGAAGCTGGTGGCAAAAATCCCCTCTCCGGGGCCAGCTCCTCTGCAATCGCTCTGATGTGATAAGGCTCAAAGCCACAGCACCCGCCTATGTACCTGACCCCCAGGTTGTAGGCTTCTCTGGCATACTTTTGAATATCCCATCTGGTTGCAACTCTGGGCTCCAGCGCTGTAATACAATAGATATGGTACTTCTGTTACCACCTCTGTTTTCAACTGTATTTTTTTTCAACAGCAAAACTAAATTTTAGAGTATGAGTTCTTCAGATAGCTCATTTTTGATTGACATTGAATGCCTTTGTCTTATGCAACCTCGTATTATAAGTCTGTGTTGTGTTATAGTTGTTCCTTACAGCCATTTCTATTTTGTCACAAGAAATCACAAGGTCTCTAATATGCACCCGAGCTCACCAAAGGGATATTCAGGGAGATCCAGAAACCCTCCTTTGCCACAGTCGGGCATGTGGAACCCCAGGGACTGCACCATCAAGTGTGCTTTCAGCCCTGCAGCCTGTAGGGCTTCCTTCATGAGGCTCATGGTCTTCAGGCTGGTCCAGGGCCCAAATCGGCAGTTCACACCAACAACTGAAGCCCCTGTGCAAAGAAATACATTTATTTACTTGTTTCACAATTTATTTACTTGTTTATTTTTAAAAATTGAAGTCTAGTTGATTTACAGTGCTGTATTAGTTCCAGATGTACAGTGGAGTGATTCAGTTGAACATATATATAAATATATATATTCTTTTCAGATTCTTTTTCATTATAGGTTGTTACAAGATACTGAATATAGTTCCCTGTCCTATACAGTAGGTCCTTGTTGTTTATTTTATATATGGGAATGTGTATCTGTTAACCCCAGACACTTAATTTATCTCTTCCCACTTCCTCTTCCCCTTTGGTAACTATAAAGTTTGTTTTCTAAGTCTATGAGTCTTTTTCTGCTTGGTAAATAAGTTCATTTTTATTATTTTATTAGATTCCACATATAAGTGATATGTGATATGATATTTGTCTTTCTCTGTCTGACTTCATTTCTATAGACTGACAACAAAACATCAGAAAGAGAAATTATGGAAACAATCCCATTTACCACTGTATCAAAAAGAATAAAATACTTAGAAATAAACCTACCTACCTAAGGAGGCAAAAGACCCGTACTCTGAAAACTATAAGACACTGATGAAAGAAACGGAACATGACACAGACAAATGGAAAGCTCTTGGAGTGGAAGAATCAATATTTTAAAAGTGATCCTACCACCCAAGGCAATCTACAGAGTCAATGTAATTCCTATCGAATTAGGAATGGCATTTTCCCCAAAACTAGAGCAAATAATTTTAACATTTGTATGTAAATACAGAAGACCCTGAGGAGCCAAAACAATCTTGAGAAAGAGGCACGGAGCTGGAGGAATCCCTGACTTCTGTCGGTACCACAGAGATACAGTTCGGTACAGTTTGTACCAAGTACAGTTTGGTACTGGCGCAAAAATAGACACAGAGATCTTTTTTTTTTAATAGTTGGAAGGTGCCTTAGAAATTAGCTATCCCCCTCCACTTCTTAAGTTTTACTGCTAAAGAAATCAATTCCAATTAACTATTTTATTTCCAAACTGCTCTCCCAACCTTAAGAAACATTGTTAACTTTCACAAACAATAACTGAACTGCTTATCACATCATGGGTCCACATTACCTGCCTTCACCAGCTTCACAGCACATTCTCCAGGTGTTACACCATGCATGTCTCCCTCTGGGCCTATGCACATAGTGGCTGCCACAGGCTTTCCAGATTCTTTTAAGACTTCTACAGCCCACACAGCTTCTACAGCATGTTCAAAATACTAAGAGAAATTTAGTGCTTTTCTATTGGTCCAAATAGAAAGCAGACTTTAAGTGGTAGACCATAAATGTTGCAAAACACAGTTATAAAAATTACCAAACATATGTAATAAAATGTGCTAAGTAATGTGCCTTTATCAGACTGACTAAAGAAATTTTTTTCTGAGTAAATTTTAATTCTTTTAACAATAACATATAGATTTTCATTCAGATATTATACTATTAATAAAAAAGGATTTTAAAGTAGTTGAGTACTTAAAATTATGATTTTGAAGGAACAAAAGTTTTATTTATAAATTTTGGACTTTTTTTTTTTCTAATGTAACTAGGGTGGTCTCTGAAGAATAGTGAATACTTTTTTATGCTTTACTCTTCAAAATACTTTTCTATTCACTTCTAGTTAGATAGTCATACGCTCATGACCATGTCAGTCTCTAAGTCGTGTCCTACTCTGTGCGACCCCATGGACTGTAGCCCACCAGGCTCCTCTGTTCAGAGATTTTCCAGGAAAGAATACTGGAGTGGGTTGCCATTACCTTCTCCAGGGGGATCTTCCTGACCCAAGATTTGAAACCACGTCTCCTGTGTCTCCTTCATTAGTAGGAGGATACCACCGAGCCACCTGGGAAGCCCTGTTATTCATAAGTGCTCCATAAAATAGGAAGGGAAATATGATTATTTCCCCAGGTGAGAATATTGAGGCACAGAGAAGGGAGGCAACCTATTGAGTGTCCTTGCTGACGGTGGAGCAGACACCTTGTCTGGTAAACCCAGGCCATTTGCTGGAGTGCTTCCCCTGCACTTAAGGAATTCCCTTAAGCGCGACAACTGAAGAGCTGATCCTAGTTTAAGTACGTGGAGAAAAGCTAGCAGAAATCTCTGTGTTTCTCCCTTCTTGACTTAGATTCTGCAGAAGCAATATGTGAGGAATCGTGGAGAAAGTCCAAAGAGAGGCTTTTAAAAAAACTTGTGTCCTCACCCATGTGGAGAACACACAGGGTGGAGTTTGCCTTCATTTTTGTAGATGACTCTTTCCAGGTGGATTAGCCAGGCATGGGTAGCCCTAAGCCTTGAGAAGGTTGATGAAGCAAGGTCTCTCATAGATGCAGTAGGATGACTGGAGAACTAGCAGTTGGGAGGCTATTGACATTGTCAAGGGTAAAGGCCTGGGTTGAGGCCTTGACTCAGACAGTAGCCTTCATGATGGGAAATAGGGAGATGGGAGGAAGAGAATACTCTCAGACTTCATGTGTAGTCGATGACAACTTTCATTGATTCTAACTTCAAAATATTGCTCATGGTTACAGCTTTAGTGAAAGCGGAGAGATGGGGTGAGCAAGGCATGGACGGAGGTGGGCAAGTAAACTGCTGCTTGGCCTTGAGTGTTACTGGGGGGCCTGGAGGAGCCCCAGGAGCTGCCTATCCTCTAGGTTTTGCTCCCTGACAGCCTCTACTCCCCAGCCCCCAGCTCCTTCCTGCCCTGCCTCTCCTGTAGAAGATGCTCCCAGAATCCCTGTCCCCATCCTCTTACCCTACATTGTAGGGTCCCCCAAGAGTCAGCTGCTACAACCACCCAGAATAAGACCAAAGGCTACAGGTAGGTCTCTCGTGGCTCCGTTCTTTGGCTTCACAGAGAACCTAGCACACAAGCGAGAGGATGTTGGCCTTGACCACAGTGCATGTAAGCAAACCTTTGACCATGCACAGGCAGGGAATGAGGGCACAGGGCGGGCCAATACTCTTACGAAAGTTGAAGACTATGCAGTTATATCAAAATATAGTTAATTTTTTCCCTATGACATTGGCTTACCTCTGCAATCAAGAAATCTACATTTTTCCTGGCAAAAATCTCTAGCTGTAGTAGAAAAAGCTTTTTAATTCTAACTTCATCCTTGTGGTGCGCGTACAACGATGTCTGGCTGATCCCCCCTGCTACCAAAGCATCCCCTTTGTCGGCTACTTCTCTGGCGAGGTCACAGGCAGCGGTGTTTACAGCTTCCCACTGAAGTGAGAGAGCAAGAGTTCACATGGTGAGCCTGGCATTTGAAAGGTGGAACGTAATAAATAACAAAGAGGGCAATGAGCAAGTGGCATGAGTGCAAGACACTGGTTTAACCTGAAATTCGAGAAGACCAGCAGAGCTGGGTACCATCTCCTATACTCCCAATGAGCTTGTATTTCCATTATTGTACTTACCACACTGGATCTTACTGAAGGATCATTGTTGGAGAATCCCATGGACAGAGGGGCCTGGCGGGCTATAGCCCATTGGGTTGCAAGGAGTCAGACACGACTGGGCGACTTAGTACGCATGCATGTGCCTCCCCAATGGGCTGTGAACCACTTCAGAATAGAGTCTATGTCTTTGTATCGTCTCTGTATTTAGCACAGAGAATGGACTATAACATGTACTCAGTAAATGTTGGTTGGTTGAATGAATAAATGGGCATTAACGTTTACAAGTATTCATACTCTCCATTTGCAGAATATCTCGTAATACTTCCATATCCTTCACCTTATCCATTTTCCCCAACAACCCAATGCATGTAAGCATCAGTTATCACACAGCCAGTAGATGGCAAAGTTGGGTATCAAACCCAGTTCTTCTCATTCTTAGCTAGTGATGCTGTCTTCCCTAGAACCATCCTGTCTGCAGATGTCAGAAAAAGAAGAGTGTGAAATGAGAAGGTAAAGAGAGAGATCTATAGTGTCCTTTCTCAACAAAAACATAGCACAGAGGATGGCCATGCCCTTCCAATAGCCTGTTTTCCCCCAGTCCCATCCCCTACCCTTCCCTTAGATAAACGGACAAAAAATATTTATTTTTTACATAAGTTTACATAATGATTAATTACTTAATGAATATTCTATGTGGAGGAATTTGTAATAAAGCATAGTACCGCATCAGGTCAGTTCCATAGATTCTCTTCAAGAGGCTATTTTTATTACAGATGACCCCTCTTCCCACCCCGCCCCACCCCCAGCTGCCACATTGTAGTCTACCTGACTTCCCATATTGTCTTCACTGGCAGAAAAGGTGAAAGTCTGCATGACATCTGATCCCGCCCTCAAGAATTCCATGTGAAGCTGACGAACTGCAAAGGAGTTGCTTTTTATTTTCCATTGAAATAAAAAAAAGTGAAAATCACAGAAACTATCATTTTTAGCAGCAGCTCATCCACTCACATCTCTTTCAATCATACACACTTCCAAACCGAGTACTTATACAGAAGTTGCAGATTCAGGTCAGTAGAATTCGGGGATGGGAAAGGGCAGAGTGCATACCAGAGGGGGGCTGTTGAGCATAACCTCATGTTGACCTGCCAGTGGGCCTCTTGGCCTAGTGCAGTCACAGGCAGGCCTCCAGTCTGGGTTGGCCCACTGATCCTTGGTCTCTTGGTCTAAAGAGGGCCTATCCATTTGCCAGTGTCAAGAAGGATGTAGCTGGTCTACGTATAGTCAGTAGTGGGAAGCCCTCAAAGTAGAATGAGGGAATTCTCACAGTGGGCAGAATGCAGATGATGGAGTCGACTTGAGCAGCTGCGGAGATGCGGCCAGAGAGATTTCCTTGTCCATCAGACACGCCTTCTTCTTGCTCTTCATCCCCCTCCCTCCCACCTGAATCTCTATCCTACTATTTCAGCACTTTCTTCCTGGGAGCTCAAAAAAGATCTTCTAAAATTAAGAATGAGTTCTTCTTGGGCCAGAAGAAGTCTCCCTGCTAACGCCAGAAAGACAGAACTTTGTCCTACCATCTAACTCTGAGTGTCTGATGGAACAGTAATCACGGCCATTGGGTACTTAGATGCTGGGCATTTCATGTGGGTTAACTCATGAGTCCTCACAAGCAGCCCATGTCATGCTCCTGTGTGACAGATGAAGAAACTGATCCTCAGAGGTCAAAAGACTTGTCCAGGGTCACTCAGCTGGTCAGTAAAACCCACGTTTGTCTGATACACTGTGCATGTATGAACAAAACAAGAGCAAATCAAAAGTTCAGTCCCAGCTTGTATACTGTTTCACCCATTTCTTCTTTAGCTGTATTTCTCACTTTAATTTAGGAAGCAAATACAAAAAAGAGCAAACTTTATAGAATTAAAGTTTCAATTTGATGTTACCAACCAATCCTATCACAGTTTCTACCTCCAAATCTTTTTTCAGCCAAGAGGATGAAGTAAAACTATGTTTATTTCTTTGCCCCTCTTCTCCCCTCAACAGAACTGGGCTGTCTCCTGTCTAAGCTCTATTAAGTTTAAAAGTGAAAGTTGTGACCAACTTTCCATGGAATTCTCCAGACCAGAATACTGGAGTGGGTAGCCTCTCTCTTCTCCAGGGGATCTTCCCAACCCAGGGATCAAATCCAGGTCTCTCGCACTGCAGGCGGGTTCTTTACCAGCTGAGTTACCTGGAATTACCATTAATCATCCCTATCAAACATATTGTTTAAATAGCATATGCAAATTAGACAGAAGGATGACTCCAAAGCAATAATAATTTTACTGTCTTACAGAAACTCTTGAATATACATAAGGTAAATATTCATGGAACAAATATTAGAATATATATTTTAGCACACTTTATATATAAAGATGCAAGTGTGTGTGTGAGAGAGAGAGAGCGAGCGTGAGCACACACGCACAGAGCGGGGAGGATGGGAGAGAAAGAAGCCACTTATGTTTGATTCATGTACAGCCACTATCACCACATCTTAGCAAATTTGGCAAGTGAAACAGTCCTTAGAAAACGCTCGCTATTATTTATCTTCTCTCAGCCGGATTTAAGCAATTGTCACCCCGGTAACCACTGAGGGTGATGCGGGCACCTACCTGCGTCTGGATGCTCTACCACGGCTTCTGGAGTCCAGAGCCCAGCCTTCACGTAGCCCCTCTTCTCCAGAGTTAGGAGGAAGCTGCCATCTCCAACCACAACCTCCCCACTATCGAGCCGTTCCAAAAGGCCCTGAAGAATAGAAGGAAAAATCACCTAAGACCATTCTTTCATTTTTCCTAAAAGCAGTTTCCAATTGTAGGAAAGGTGGGTACAGTGCTCTTATAGCTCAGTTTTGTGAAAATCATCTGTGCCTGATGGTATTTCAGAAAATTTGAGTAGACTCTATTGGACAATCCAGGTACTTGTCTTGCCTCAAGTTCTGTGACTACTTTTTCTCAAATACCATTTAATCTGAATCAAATTATAGTGAGAATGCTGATTCCATGATATTTTGGTTTTTCAAGATGTTTGTGGCAGACACTGCTGATCGCCTAACTAATGTGCATTTTTTTCTCCTCATGTTTGCTAATGTATTTTGTTTGGTGAGACAATGTCCCCAACTTAAAAAAAATTCTCGGGTCTCAGGCTCCTTTGCTGTGGGGGACTGGCCGTGTGACACAGTGGTGGCCGATGGTTGTAAGTGAAAGCCTGCTGAACATTTCTATAAGAGATTTGTTTTCCTGATAGAGATGCCCATACCCTTCCATCTTATCCCTTTTTCTCCTTCCTGGCTGGAATATCAGCTCAAGTCCTGGTGCCACAGCCATCATCTTGCAGCCATGCCATCGAAAGCCACGTGCTAAGGCTGAGGGTACAGGTTGATAACTGCAGCCTAGTGTCTTGACGACAGCTTAGAGGAGCTGCAGACGCCGTGGACTGTGACTGTATTTTTCAGGTGAGAAGAATAAACCTCTTTTTTGTGTGAACCGTTGGACATAATCCCAGTAGACACAGCATTTGCCCTACATTTTCCAGCATATTCCCAGACTTGTTATCATTCGGTACTCTTAACAAGTCTGGGAGCTAGGCAGGGCAGACAGTTTTTATTGCAATTTTGTAAATGAGGACACTGAGGTTCAGAGAGGCTGAGTGAATTGCTCAAGATCATAGAACTCAGTAGGTAAAACAGTAGATGTCAGACCTTCTAAATTCCTAATCTAGTCTCTATTTTGCCACCTTTCTAGTCAGCCCACCTATAACCTGAATAAAAGATTGCATCCAGAGCAGTTATCCAAGGGCTAATGGTGTTCATTGAGTACAAAGTACATCCCCAGATACCTACATCCTCTCATTTCCTTCAGGTCATTTGTCAAGTGTCATTTTTTTCCAGAGAGACCTTCCTTTTGATTTGTAAAAACTGCAAATACTCCTATGGGAATCCTTATACTTCTTGCATAGAGTACATTAGTTGAAGATATAACCTTTTTCTCTCTCTCTTTTTTATTTTCTAAATTTTGAAAGTATGATAACATATTTACAGGAGGCTTGGAAAATACAGAACAAAGTTATGTATAGTTGATTTTTTAAGTACATAAATTAAGATTTTTAGTTGGGATTTCAATATCAAATTCTCAAAAATTAGTAGAATGAATATACAGAAAGAAGAACATAGTAGATCTGAATAGCACCAAGTGTCTCCTAGTTTATAGTCTATGGGAACTTGAATAAAATTTGTATCCTACTGTTGTGTGAAAGTTGTATAAATCTTAACTAGGTTGAGTTGGTTTGAAGATACGACCTTTTGGTGAAAATATCGGCCAGTTCATCTCAGCTCTGCCTACAGCGGGACACAGAGCAGTGCATGAACAGGGGAGCTGCCCCTCGTAACTGCCACATCTGCAGCTCAGGAAGGTACATCAGACGTGGTGGCCCGGAGGCTAAACACCAGGCCACCGTGCTTCTCCACCTTCCTGTGGAGGGAAGGGGAATGCAGCCCAGCTGTGTCAACCAGAAACATTGCTTTGGCAGAGAGCTCCTGATTCTGGTTATTTCTCCATACTTCATATCCAAAGATAAATTTTAGCTGAATGTAGAAGAAATGTTAATGTATTCTATGATTCTCACCTCTCTCCCTACTCCCTCCATGGAGTGAAATTTGCTCCTTTCATTTTGTACTTTTGAAACATGAAAAGGGCTTAAACTTTCGCTGAGCCTTCCCACATACTAGGCCCAGTTTCTAGGCAAGAGGGATAAACACTGGACTAATGGTCGCTGCCCTCAAGAAGCTCCAAGCGCTGGTCGCCTTGGGGAAGGCCATCGCATCAACAGACTGTCACAGCACAGGGCAGTGACTAAATGCTGCAGACGGACGTGGAAGAGAGAATCAAAGGTGTCGTCATTTGTCTAAGGTTCCGAACTGAAAATCTAACACATTTCAACGAAGTTAACTTTGTTAACAGTGGGACTGAATGTTACACATCCAACAATTCTAGAGGGGAAAATATTAACACACAATTTGGCTGTTATAAGTTAATCTCTCACCTCCCACATCCGATCTGTCATCGGGTTATACCAAGCATATCTATTTAACACATCTCACATATGTCCCCTCCCCCATCCTTACTGCCCTGGACTATTGTAATGGTCTCCAGTTCACTCCAGCCCACTCTAAACTATCTTCCACTGCTGCCAGAACAAAGCCTTGTCTGACCTACTCTTATTTATGATTACATCCCCTTTTGCCTCTTGCTGAAGTTCATATACCTTCTATTCCTACATCCATCATCTGTGTGGCAGTATCTGGTTACTCACCTGTTGCCTCTGTTTGGCTGGAAGATGCTTGAGGCTCAGGTGGCAAGCCTGTTTTGTCACCTTGTCTCTCTACCTGATACAGCACCCACCATGAAGTGAAGTGACAGTCGCTCAGTCCTGTCCAATTCTTTGCAGTCCCATGGACTGGAGCCTGCGAGGCTTCTCTGTCCATGGAATTCTCCAGGCAAGAATACTGGAGTGGGTTGCCATTCCCTTCTCCAGGGGATCTTCCTGACCCAGGGATCGAACCTGGGTCTCCCGCCTTGCAGGCAGATTCTTTACCATCTGAGCCACAGGGGAAGTAGGCCCTTAATAAACTATGCCAAGAGTTGGCAGATGACCGGACTCTTTTGAAAATGTCATGTATCTCATATGTTACAAGTTTGGTCCTGACAAGAAGGGAAAAAACAATACTCGAATAGAAAATTAGCTAGGGTTTTAAGAAAATGATGGTGGAAATTTGACTATTGCCTTCATGATAACAAGTAAGACATTTTGATCTGTTATCTGGACGTTTGTCCAGCATTTTAAAATTTTGCCAGTTTCCTAAACAGCTATTAGGAAAATAAATGATCAAGATATGCATTCAGAGCATCTTTCAGCCCATCTTTCACTGCTAGACTTACCACCTCAGTTAACTGCTACACCTTCACAATCTAAATATAGCTCTAAAATGACAGAGGACTGTGTAAAATAAAGAACACTGTAAATTATTTGCACTATGTCTATATTTTCATTCCATCCTCCCTTTGTGTTTGGCAGTGACTCTCCCTGGGATCTGAGTGAGCTCTGAGAGGCACGGATGCCCTCTTTTTGCAGATAGCAGTATCTAGACCTCTTGGATTTAAGATCTGGCTTCAGGGCCCCTTTATTCATATACAGAGGAGTAGGGCAACTTCACTTTGTGGCAGGAAGCTGCCAGAGGTCCAGTCTACTTAAAATATCTCTCCATCTGCCCGAAACTGCCACTAGGACTGCTCATTTGTATTAAAGAAAGCAATTGGAGCTGTCCTCTGTGGCAGTTAAACGAATTCTTAAGATGCACCTGTTAGCTGAAAAGAGTGGTGAGGTTAACTCTACCCCACTAACATTTAACTCCCAGGCCCACATTAGCATGGACTCTCATATGAAAATCTTGGTGTTGCAAAGAGCAGAGGCCAGCAGGGAATAGAACAGGGAAAGCATATATTAAAAAAAAAAAAACAACACCTTTAAAGAAATGAACTGAAAAGTAAGCATAGTATTAGAGAAAGCTTAGAGAAAGAAATCAGCATAAGGTTCTTTTTATCATGCTTATTTTCTTCAATGCCTATATTTTACTTTTATAATCAGAAAAACATCTCCAAAATATTTTTTTGTTAAGTTTTTTAAACTCATATTCCACAACTTATGTAACTACTACCATTATTGTGTCTTTCTGTACAGTGCATGTATAAATATTTTTATATAGTTGGGATCAGTCTGTGACATATCATATCTCCTTTTGTAACTTATTGCCAAAGCATTTGCCTGTTTCCACACTCAACTTTTTTAATTGGCTGCCTGATAACTTATTAAGTGAATGATCTTTATTTACAGAGCCCAGGACTGTGGGGCATCTTGGTTGCCCCTATCTTTTTAGTATAAATGAAATGGTGGTGCACGCTTCCACTTCTATCTTGCCACTGCCTTGCCCACCCTCTCTTCTGAATTACCTGGCACAGGTGGCTTGCTCTGAGAAGTTTGGAGATGTTCCACGTCCAAGTTCATGCCCTTCCTAATTGTGTTTTGTCACCCCCTCCTCCCCACCACGCGCACATCTAGCGTGAAAATGGGGGAACAGGGCGACAGCTGGCAAGCACATCAGGAAAGGGGAGCTAGGAGACCAGTACTGCAGGACTACGTGAGGTGGAGCCCCTACCCCTCCGCCCAGCACGCCCCCACCCTCCACCCCGCTGCGGGTCTGAGGTGTCCGCGTCCAGGACCGGTTTCAGGCTAGTACAAGGCTTGGGGGGTTCAGACAACAGCTCTTCCTCAAACGTGGGAGGAACACGCTCTGGGACAGTTGAATAGAAGAGCTGCGGGTGCAGGTGGGTTGAGGGTAGAAAACGTGAGCGCCACCTAAATCTGAAAGGCTGGATTTCAAATACCTGCTCCGCCTGGACCCGATCTATGAGCCTGAACTAGTCTGCTGAGTCTGAGCCTCAGTTTCCTCACCTGTAAAATGGGAATAAAAGTGAAGCGGAGATGGTTTGCATAGAGCACTCGCGCGGTGCAGGGTACCAAGGCGAGGCTCCATAACTGGTACCCAAGATTGCTATCATCCTGACACCTAGGCATACTGTAGTCCTGGCGACTCGCGAGGGGGTAAACGGAGGCTCAGAGCCCTCCAGGTGCCTCGCCCGGGCCGCAGAGGTTGGCCAGGGACTGAGGTGGAGCCCCCCGGCCAGGAGGGCTGAGTACCGGGCTCCCCGAAACTCACCTTCTTGGCTCTGGGCCCCCGGGTCGGGGCCATCGCGCCTCTGCGGCGCAGCGCGGGGAAGCGGGAGCGCGCGCAGCCAGGAGCCCGCCCCTCGCCCGGGGGAGGGTCCCGCCCGCCCGCAGGCCCTTCAGTCCGCTGGCTCGGGAGCCGATGCCTGCGTCCTCGCCCTCAGCCTCGCCATGCTCCGCCTGGGCACACGGCGGCTGCGGGGCCTCGGGCTGCGGGGCTTCCCGCTGAGGGCCTCCCCCGGCCGCCCGCACTCAGTCTGCAGCCGCCGAGGGTGAGTGGGGCCGGTCTACGCGGAGGTCCGTGCCTGGACAGCTGCGGGGTTGCAAGCGAGGGGCTGAGACGTCCCCGGCTATGGGAACTTGGGCACTTCTGACCCCGAGAAATGGGCATTTGGATTTCTTCTTGAATTATGTATGTTTTCTTTCCCATGCACAACCGTCCAAAGAGAAAATCAAAAGGTTTCTACTGGAAGGACTCTCCTACCCTCACCTTTTTCAGTCAACTGTTAGGGTCTTCTGTATTTATCCAGAGATGGTCCGTGGGAAGGCAAACACAGGGGCATATATGGTCTTCTTTGGCTTTTTGTACCTTGTTTCTTTGCACTTCATCCTTGAGAAACTCATGATCTAGCTAGCTAGGAAGACAGTCGTGCATATAAACATATCCAGCCACTGAGCAATAATTACAATTAGAGAAGCAGGTGCACGGGGAGAGGACCTTAAGCGAGGAAGAACATTGTACTCCATCTGGCTTTCTTCAACCTGGAAAACATTGGAGTGAGGAGGTGATCCAAGATTTATAGATAATGCACTTCATGATGATTATGGTTTTTCATGGAATAAAATGACAAGTGTGTTTTTAAAGTAGACTGAAATAGATTATTCTCTATATTTCTTTGCGAAAAAGAAGCCAACTGCTCAGTTCTTTAGCTCTATTAGTTAACTATGATGGGTCAGAATTACGGGAAATGGGGTTCAGATCCGTCCTCCTCCCTCTCCCAACTAAGTCAGGTTGAGGCCCCCCAAATGATTAGATCAGTAAACGAAAGTCTCACAGACACTAGATGTTAAGTATGAGAAGGATAAATAAGGAAACACACTAGTCAGGAAAAAGAAAAAGAAAAAAACAAACAGAAAACTTTAAATATCATAGCCTAGTAAAGCTATGATTAAATAAATTGTCTTCCAGAGAGGAAAACCCACCCTTATCTGCAGAATCAAGATGGAAAGACCAAGCAGAAACAGTGATCATTGGAGGTGGTTGCGTTGGTGTGAGTCTGGCTTATCATCTGGCCAAAGCAGGCATGAAGGATGTGGTCCTTCTGGAGAAATCAGAGCTCACTGCTGGATCCACCTGGCACGCAGTAAGAAAACACCTCAGCGCTGTTGCAGGCACCAAGTCATGCACTTGCACGATTGGTTTCTTTTCCATTCACAGCTCCCAACTGTGAGCCTGTTACAGTGAGTTCCCTTTTCATAGTGTTGGAAAGTGCAATTGCAGCTTAATTGATGGAATTCCAGGGGGTTATCCCATGTTGATCATCTTGATAAGATCATCTTGAACATATGGCTTCTGGAATCACAACCTGTGTTTCTACTTCTGTGACTTCAGGCAAGTTACTTAAGCTTCCATTTTCCAATGTGTGAAATGGAAATATTAATAAGTGAAAGTGCAAGTCGCGTCCACCTCTTTGCGACCCCATGGACTGACTATACAGTCCATGGAATTCCCTAGGCCATAATACTGAAGTGGGTAGCCTTGCCCTTCTCCAGGGGATCTTCACAACCCAGGAATTGAACTTAGGTCTCCCGTATTGCAGGCAGATTCTTTACCAGCTGAGCCACAAGGGAATATTAATGGTCCCTACCAAATAGGGTGATGATAAAGATTGAGTTAATATGTGTAAAGCTATTATGGTAAGCGTTTAGTAAATGTTAGCTTTTGTATCAAAGGATAGTGACTAAGTGATCCTGAATATAGGCCTAAGACCTATGTACCCTCACCTGGCTTTAGTCATCCTTTTATATTTATTAATTTATAATTTTAGTTTAATGCTGGGCGACAACAGCTTCATGAGGACTTAACTATGACAGCTGAGAAAGTATGACACAGTTCTCATGTTGTGTTAATTAAGATACACAACCAAGTTTATCTTGCATATTTAATGGTATGCACAATTGTTCCAGTTCTGTATAATAATCGAGCTTAGGTGGAAAGCTGCTCAAGTAAATGAGGTGATTGACCCTACTCTCATACTGCCCAACTAGTTATTTCTGAAGTCAGGATGGGAGATGAAGTTTTTAAGAACATTAGATTCCATTTTTGTTTGGAGGAAGAGTTGGGATAAACAACAAGGTCCGACTCTGTAGTACAGGGAACTGTAATCAATATCCTGTAATAAACCAAAATGGAAAGAATATGAAAAAAATATATACATGTCTATTTACATATATTTTAATAACTTTGCTATACACCAGAAGCTAACACAACATTGTAAATCAACTATCAGTTCAGTTCAGTGGCTCAGTCGTGTCTGACTCTTTGTGACCCCATGGACTGCAGTACCCCAGGCTTCTCTGCCCATCACCAACTCCCAGAACTTGCTCCAACTCATGTACATTGAGCTGGTGATGCCATCCAACTATCTCATCATCATCTATACTTTGATTTTAAAAAAGTAGGGTAGTGTTAGCTCCTGCCTGTCATCCCTTTCTGTCATTAGCTTTCCTCCACTGAGACAAGAGGGAACCCCGCTTTTAGAGGCTTTTTAACACCCAGAACCTCACCTCATACAGTTGGATATCCTTTCTCCAGCCGAGTTTGGGGGAGGGCACTGCCCAGACTTAAACCTAGTTCACTCCAGAGTCCCCATGGTCATGTAGTCAGACTACACCCACCAACTGGATGGAGACTTCTAGAAAAACAGCACCAAGCCCAGTTTCTCTTCTTTCCTTTCCTGCCAGCCCCCTCACGCCTCAGTCTGGGGTGTAGCCTGGTCCTCCTTGAGCGTCCTCTCTTTTTTTACGCGAGGATGTCTTCTGGCACGCTTACACTGACACCCTTGTCTCTTGTCTCACTGGTCCTGCCTCATCTTGTTTCCTGCTATCTGGAGAGGTGGTCCAGGAAGCCATGGACACTGTTGGCTCTCCTCCCTTCCCTGAGCTAGACTTTCTAGGCAGGCTTCCTCTTATCATGTAATAGAAAGCTTGTCTTTACCCCCCACCTTTCTCTAACTTCTTTTTAGCAGATATTTGGTCATTCTTTCAACAAATATTTATGAAGAGCCTGTATTGTGTCGGGGCTTCCCTGATAGATCAGTTGGTAAAGAATCCGCCTGCAATGCAGGAGACCCCAGTTCAGTTCCTGGGTTGGGAAGATCTGCTGAGGGTTAGGCTACCCACTCCAGTATTCTGGCCTGGAGAATTCCATGGACTGTATATCCATCAGGTCGCAAAGAGTCGGACACGACTGAGCGACTTTCACTCACTCACTATATTGTGTCAGCCAGAACTGTTCTAGGAGATGAGGACACAGCAGTGCCCGAAAGAAAGCCCTGCCCTCAGAGTCACATTCTGGTGGGGCAGATGGAAGCCACAGCGGCGATGCTCCTGAGTAATCAGTGCTAAAAGAATAGAGCGGGGTAGAGGGATTCAGAATCATGGGCACGGAAGAGCCTGAAGGCTACTTTGAAAAAGCAACACTTGAGCAGAGATGGGCAGAAGTGAGGGAGTGAGGGGGCCACGAGGCTGTCCTGCTGAGAGCAGGTAGGCAGACGGAAGTTTTAACGAGTGGGAATACCCAGGAGGGTGAGCTTACACCTTTGTCACACTTCTGGATTGTAAAAGGAGGGTGTGCATTTTAACATCTTAATTACTAATTTGTTCATTTATAGTTGATTGATTTAATGTAACCTGTATTTTAGTTACTGGATTCCCTGCACTATCACTTCTTAAACATCTCATGCATAATAATGGTAAAAATAAAACACATATCCTTAGCCTAAGATCTTTTTAAGAAAAGTAGGCAAAATTTTTAAGATGATAGCTTCTTGTTAAAAGTTAACTGTGCAAAAAATTTCTCCTTAAGCAGAGAGATACCAGGATGAGTTGGAAAGGAATTATCTGCTTTGTGACCAAGTTGTAGACTCTGGTTCACAAAATGAGGTTCATGGAGTATGGACTGAAGTTGGACTCATGCATCAGAAGCCAGGTTATATGGGCCCCTGCAAATGCAGACAGCAAAAATGGAATTGCCCCTAGGAAGCGGATTAGAGGAATTCTGGCAAACCAAGGGGTCTCCCACCAAGGAGCATCATGAGGATATCCCACATGTTAGAATTTTTTGAGATATAACTGACATGTTAGTTTTAGGTATATAACATAATGATTTGATATTTGTATATGTTGAAAAATGATCACAGTAAGTCTAACTAACATCCATTACCACACATAGTTACAAAACTTTTTCTTGTGGAAAAAAAAACATTTACGATTTACTCTCTTTGCAACATTCAAATATGCATTACTGTATTGTTAGCTATAGTCACCATGCTGTATGGTACATCCCCCGGGACTTATTATCTTATAACTGGAAGTTTGTGCTTTTTGACCTCCTTCACCCATTTTACCCATCCCCCAACCCCTGCCTCTAGGAACCATCAATCTATTCTCTGTATCTCTGAGTTCTCTTGTTTTGCTTGTTTTTAGATTCTGTATGTAAATGAGATCATTCAGTATTTGAGATTTATAGTTCTTTGCCTGTTTTATTTAGCATAATGCCATCAAGCTTCATCCACATTGTTGCAAATGACAAAATTTCTTTCTTTTTTATGTCTGATTAATATTCCATTATATATATATAATTATATATATCTATGTGTGTATACATATATATATATATATATATCCATTCATTTTTAACATAGAGAAGTTTGGGAGTAAATATGGAAATGTGAAAGTTTGAGGGGCCAGCTGAAGGGACAGACTACAAAAATAAAGGCAGTTTCACTAAGTACAACATGTGCT